AATGCCATCAACGTATAACTGGGAATTAAGTGTCCAACACATGCACTTTTGAAGGACACATTCAAACCACAGTTTGGTGCCAAGAACTGCTCTTGGCTCTGGGCTTCAAAGGCCTGCCTCCCAGAGGTGAGCCTGAGCTGGCATCCTGGCAGCCTTGCCTGGACCCAGAGGCAAGGCAAACCCAATCCACCAAGGCCTGGGCAGAGCTGGGGAAGGCAGGCTGTCCAGGGAGCCACATGAGGCCCACTGTCTCACCTGCCTCCTTCTGGGAGGCTGGCACAGGCAGTTCTACATCCTCCCTTACTATGATGAGGTGTGGGTCTTTCCACTGATCCCCAGGGACAACTGCACCATGCAGGTGACTCCTTAGCACAAGTGCCCTTATCCCCCTCAAATTTGGGTCCTCCTGTGGGACGAAGGCCAGGGGGCGGATGCTGAGACCAAAGGTCCTCTTGCTTTGGGTGTTCACATCAGTCCAGAGCTCACTGCTTCTTTGCTGGCCAGCCTGCTGGGGTATGCCCTCATGGATTGTCCACCCTAGAAGAGGAAGGCAAGTCATTAAATGAAATAAATATCCAGGCATGGTGGCACACACCTGTAATCCCCACTGCTTGGGAGGCTGAGGCAGGAGGATCACAAGTTCAAAGCTGGCCTCAGCAATTTTGCAAGGCCCTAAGCAACTTAGTGAGATCCTGTCTCAAAATAAAATATAATAAGGGCTGTGGATGTGGCTCAGTGGTTAAGTGCCCCTGGATTCAATCCCCTGGTACCATGAAATAAATAGACCTTAGACCTTTGTGTTGTGATAAGTGCCAAAAAGAAAATAGGACAGGGTTGAAGACAGAGACTGCTTCAGCTCCATGGTCAGACGCCAGGTGTTATGGGGGTGGAGGGGACAGCTGAGTGGACTGAGGTCCCCAGGGGAGGATCCAGGTAGGTTAAGGGTGGGAAGGGGCCCCTTACTTTTACCTTGGGGCACCTGGAAGGGCTGCCTGCTAGCGAGGTAATGAGGGGCCAGGGTACAACCCTCCAAACACCTCATCCTTTGCAGCCTGGGGCTAGTGGGGGTGGGTGTAATGGGCAGCTCCAGAGTTGGGCTGTCTCCTGTTGGCCAGCACAAGTCTCTGTAGGGGAGAAATGCAGAAGCTGCCACTAGAGTTAGTCTTCCTGGACACAGGCCCAGCTTCCCCTGCAGAGCTCTGGGCAAGTGACCAGCCTACCCCCCTGCCCCACCCCAGCACCCAGAGTCAAGATACCCACCTGAAGACTTTGCTCTGGCAGGATCACTTTCCACCCCAAGACAAGGTGTTTAGCAGCTCCTGGGCCAGAAATACTCCCCACCCACTTCCATCCTCTCTTGCCCAGGTGTCTGCCTTCCATGACTTTCACTGACCCCACTCAACCTGCTCTCCAGGGGTTTCCCTCCCTGTCACCCCATGCCACTCTCTGTCCAGGTGTCAGTGGTGAACAAGAACCGCACCTTGAACTCTTCCCCAGCTCTGACCCAACTCAGGAGAGGTGGCTCCATCCTCAGGTCCTTTTAGCCAGTAGAAACAGGAGCAGGGGTAGGGTCAGAGCAAAGGTGACTGGGGGCAAGTCCAGGCACATCAGAGGCCATGTTCCTTGTGCAGGTTGTGGGGGGAGGAATGTCACCCAGGAGCATGTTCCTGTTTGCGCTTCCCAGACTGCCCTGGTCTTGGTTCCTGGCAGGAGGTCTGAGGGAGGCCAGGCAGTCTGCAGGGGGTAAGGGTGCTGGGCAGGGGCTGCAGCCAGGCAGGCAGAGCTTCTCCTTAGATTACTGGGTAAACCGCGCCAGTGGCTCCGCCTGGCCCAGGAAGAAGTAGGAGCTTCTCTTCACCCCTGGCCTCTCAGGTGAAACTCCCACAACAGCCTGCAGGAGGAGTCTTGTGAGGACAGTCACTAGGCTGATACTGGGCTAGAATCAGCGTGGAGGTGACCCCCCAGCCAGAGGACAGAGCCCCTGGGGAAATTCTCCCTGGAGGTAACTCCAAGTCAGAAGGCTGGGTTTCCATGGAGAGGGTGTGTGCGTGGGTGCCTCCACCTTGGCATGGGACACCTGGGCCCACAAGGCAGAGCCTCCAAGGTGAATACTCTCCCCAGGTGGATTCCAGCAGGCCTGAGCCTATGGAGCAGGGAGGGGCGGAGGCTGCAGAGCAGGAATTGCGGTGGATAGAACTAAGCTCGGAGGCCCGGGAAGCCAGGACAAAGGGGCCCAGTGCCCCCCAGAGCCAGGGGAACCTGCTCCAGGCCGTGTGGCATGGTCCTGCCGCCTTGGTGACGAAGCTCCTGAGGCAAGGGGCCAGCGTGGAAGAGAAGTAAGCTCTGGGACTGACTGGGATTCCTTCTTGGGGAGGGGCAGGATAGGGTCTGGTCAGCAGACTGCCGGCGGCCTGGACACCTTTACTTCATTGCAGGGACCGCTTTGGAAGGACCCCTCTCCACCTGGCTGTGCTGCGTGGCCACGCGCCCCTGGTGCGCCTCTTGCTGCAGCGCGGGGCCCCAGTGGACGCAGCGGACTGCGCGGGGCACACGCCACTGCACGATGCCGCCTGGCAAGGGCACTCGCGGGTGGCCGAGCTGCTGCTGCGGCGAGGGGCCCCGGTGGCTGCACGCTCGGGGAAGGGCCTCACGCCGCTGCACTGGGCCGCGGCACTGGGCCACACGTTGCTGACCGCGCGCCTACTGGCCGCTCCGGGATTGGGCCCCGAGGCCACTGACGCTTTCGGCTGGACCGCAGTGCACTGGGCGGCCGCCGGCGGGAGGCTGCCGGTACTCGAGCTGCTGGCGGCAGGCGGGGGCGCGGACCTGGACGGTGCCCTGTTGGTGGCGGCTGCGGCCGGGCGCCAAGCGGCGCTGCGCCTCCTCATGGCATGCGGGGCGCAGGTGGACGCCCCCGACGGCTCCGGGGTCACCGCGCTGGGCTTGGCGGCCGGCCTGGGCCGCCAACAGGTGAGTCCCGCTTTCCCAGGCAGTAGCCTGGTGCCCGGAGGGGGCGCGAGGCAGGAAGCTCCAGACCGCACTCCCCTCACCGCGGGGTGGGGCCAGGCGGACACGGAGGCTGGGCAGGTGGAGGAGGCGCCAGCGCAGGAGAGAGGCACCTAGGGGTGTGATCACCTGAGCGCCGTCTTGGCTGTGCCTCTCCTCCTATGATCTTGCCATCTCGTGGAGGCCCTGGAGACCCTGGCTTGCATTGCTACTTCGTTCTGGTGGCCGACAGCAACAAACATTTATCTAGTACCCGGTCTGCAGTTGAGACCAGCTAGCCCCCAGGCACCAGAGGAGGACAGGAGGCACAGCAGAGTCTGCATATGATCTCAGCCATTTGGGGAAAGCGAAAGTCTCCAAGCAGAAGGGCTGCAGGCTGCTTTAGGTTCTGGCTTATTGACCAAACAGAAGGTCAGAACAGGTTAGGGCCAGGCAAATGTCTCCAGGTCCCAGCCCCTCACCCACTTGTGTCAAGGCCTGCTCATGCCTTCCCCTCTCCTCCTTTCTAGGACATTGAGCTGCTCCTGGGCCATGGGGCAGACCCAAGCATCAGGGACAGGCATGGCCGCGTTGCACTTCACAGGGCTGCTGCTGGTGGGCATCTGTCTGCTGTCCAGCTGCTGGTGGCCTGGGGAACTGAGGTAGATGCTCAGGACTCACTGGGCCTCACACCCCTGCACTATGCAGCTCTGGGAGGCCACATGGAGGTTGCCAGCCATCTCCTGGACAGGGGTGCACAGGTCAATGCTGCTGGCTGGCTCCACAAGACCCCCCTGCACCTTGCTGCAGAATATGGCCACAGTCCTACTACGGAACTCTTGCTGAGCCGAGGGGCTAGTCCCACTCTGAGGACACAGTGGGGTGAAGTGGCCCAGATGTCTAATGGGGGGCTTCCCCAGGTGCTGCCTGCCTTTCAAGGGGAGCAGCAGATGCGTTCAGGGCATACAGCCCTGCAGGTCCCAAGCGACTCTCTGTAAGACTGAGCTTCCACACACAGCGGCACAGAAAGCTCCTCAGCCCAGAGGTGCCCAGCTCCTCTCTTCTGGACTGAGATCACCTGCCTAGGCGGAGAGAGGGATCAGATGAGAGGTTCTTGGGGGTGGGGGGAGAGAGCCACGTAAGACTTGGTCACTGGCTGTGGCCAGACCTCAATGTTCCCATCTCTCAGTTCCAGCTTTCTCCACACTCTTGGGTGAAGACTGAGTCACAGCAACAGGTCTGACCAAAACCTGATGGTCTCCCCTTGTCTGTCCACCATGGAGGCATCCCCTCACCTGTTCCCGTGCATGGGGGTATTCTATTTTCTTAGATTTTGTATTTTCCTGATGAACCAAACTAATGGCAGAATTGTTCCCATCACCCCTTTCACCCCCGCTCTGTGCCACCTCCTCAGGAATTCCCACAGGCCAGGCCAGTTTTCCTGCTCACTGCCCAGGGCCAGGTACAGGCAAGCAGGGTCAGCTCATCTGTGCCAGGGCCCACTGGAGTTATCCAGACTAGCCAGTTCTAAGCTGTGTGCCATGCTCTGCCCCTCCAGTGGGCACTCAGCGAGGGCCGGTCCTTCCTTCACTCGCCCTGCCTCTTGAGCAGAGCCTGCTGCTCCCTGTGTGCCTTGCTTGGCCGCCAGGGCATGGTACACTTCCCCCTCTGGAAAATCTAACTACAGGGCTGGGGATGTGGCTCAAGCGGTAGTGCGCTCGCCTGGCATGCGTGCGGCCCAGATTCGATCCTCAGCACCACATACAAACAGAGATGTTGTGTCCGCCGAAAACTAAAAAATAAATATTAAAAAAAATTCTAAAAAAAAAAAATCTAACTACAACAAAGTCTTCTTTCAACATCATTTGCTTCTCCATGTCTTAATTCTGTCATTTCTGTGAATTTGAACTCCCACGGGTATAACGCAGATGGGGACGGTTGTTAAGTACAGCTGGACATGGTATAACATCCTGTAGTGCCAGCACTTGGGAGGCTGAGGCAGGAGGACTGCTTGAGTTTGGGTGTTTCAGGTCAGCCTGGGAAAGAGAGTGAGCCCCTGTCTCAAAATAACAAAAAAGTAGTTTTTATTTATTTATTTAGGTATTGAACCCAGGGGCACTCAACCAGTGAGCCACATCCCCAGGCCTATTTTGTAGTTTATTTTATTTTTTTCCAAGCCAAAGTGTATCCAGCTTTATTAAAGATAAATTTCATAAACAATCATGGTATTTCAGGCAGGTCATGGGCAGACAGTTGTTAACAGTAACAACAACTTTCAAACCCCCTTCTTGGATGGACTACCAAAATCAGAAAGCCACTATAAAACCCAATGAAGTCTTCATTTGATGCTCTGAATAGGGAAAGTTTAGAGTGAGGGTTGACCTTTCACATTTAGCATGTTTAACAACTTTTCACAAGCCGACCCTGACTTTCAGGAAATGAAATGAGAATGGAAAAAATTATTAATCTGAAGATCCACAATCTAGAAAAGGAACTGCTGCTCTTCTGAGGGACACTGTTCTCAATGACGTCACTGGAAAGTCCAGATTGCCCCCCCACACTGGTAAAACCCTTTGCTGGGAATCAGGTCCCAACAGGTCTGAGTTTAGAGGAGTTAAGTCCGTGCTGATGCCAGAGAGGGGGAGGAGGACATACAGATGAGTCTGAGTTTTTCCATACCACAAGGCACTTGTGCCAAGGTGGCTGTGTGTGCCAACATCAGGGAATCCCTTCCTCTTGGGAACAAAGAGGAAGTCTCTCAAAACTAGAAGGGAAAGGTGTGTTTCCCCACAGCAATCCAGCTTTGGAGACATTCTACTAGTGACACATGCTCCTTCCCCCCCAAAACAACAATGAAGTGTTCTGTGTGCTAACAACATAGCTTAAAAAAAAAGTAAAACAAAATTCTGCACCTTTATAAAACTTGATAAAAAATAGTATTTCAAACGGTACAGCCACCAGAAGTCCACAGTTATCAGAAAGGCACACACTGCCCTGGCGTCTCCAGCCCCTCAGCTGTCTGTGCCTGGTCTGTTTGGGCATCTCCATCTTCTTCAGGGTTTCCCTTTTTCCCTTTGGGTACTTCTCTCCCTTCTTTGCAGGGGCTTTTTTAGGCTTGGGCTCTGGCTTTGGAGGAGCAGGTTAGCGGACAGCCTTGCGGATCTTCTCTGTGGTTGTCTTTCACCTGGGCTTTATCTCCTTTACATCCCCTTCAGCCTTTCTCTTGGGCATGGTGGCGATGGCGGCGGGATGCTGGCTCTGGACCAGGGGATGCAGCGGCTGGCTTTGGTCAGTCCGAGGTCGTTCTCGCCTCTTCTTCTTCACACTGCTCTTATTTTTATTTAATTTAATTTAATTAATTAATTCATTCATTTATTTTTAAGATTTCCTCCCTGGAGGAAGAAGGGGACCCAAGAGGTGGAATCCATGGAAGGGGGAGGTCTTTCCCCCCCCCTTTTTTTTAGAGAGAGATAATTTTTTTAATATTTATTTATATATTTTTTTAATTATCGGCAGACACAACATCTTTGTCTGTGGTGCTGAGGATCGAACCCGGGCCGCATGCTATATCCCCCGTCCTGCTTTAACTCTTCTTAAAACTATATCCCCAAAAGGATATAGAAGGCCAAGTTAATATGGTACAGGTGATAGATTAGAAAATCACCAATGGATACTTAGATTAGTGAGTGCGAGATCAATGAGGGATGGGAAATCTACCTTATCTCAGAATGTCATGGCCTCGGAGGGTGCTGCTCAGATTTCCACCTATCTGCCGCTGTGCTGCAAGCCCACAGTTGCATTTCAGCTAGGGGCACAATTTTCTCAGCTGGGATGCTGAGCACAGATGGGCACCAGGGACTGGTCATTTTCACCAGATACAGGGCTTCTCTATCTGGCTGTCTCTGCTTCAGCACCACTGGGTTAGCAATATGCTTCAACAGAGGCGCCCAGTCATGAGTCCTTCTACAGGCACACCTCAAATGCTCACTTAATTCCACATCTGCTTACCAGAAGGCCTGGAACACACAAAGTATTTCTTCCCAAGTCACTTGCCAGTTACAAATGTGGACACAGTGGAGAAGCCTCCCAAACATTAGCCAAAAAGCAGATATCACCAAGTGGGACAGAGAGGGTCTCAGTCTCCCAACACCAGGGAGTGATCAGGATGCAATAGGACTTCATGGCGTTCTGCCAAAAAAGTACAGACTGATTTGGATCACCAGGAAAAGACTCAGGTCAAGGGAGATGCTGCAGAACAGTCTGTTCTCTTCAGGAATCCCAGGGTCAGGAAAGACAAGACAGGCTGAAGGAATATTCCACATCAATACTAAAACAGACATGACAGGGCTGGGCTGGGGCACAGTGGCAGAGTGCTTGCCTCACACTTGTGAAGCACTGGGTTCAAGCCTCAGCACCACATAAAAATAAACAAATAAAATAAAAGTCATGCTCTCCATCTACTACTACAAGAGCGGTTTGTAAGAGCAGTAGAGCACTCACCTAGCAGGATCAAACCTTGGGTTCGATCCTGAGCACCACATACAAAAAGTAAGCAAATAAATAAAGGCATGTTGTCCATCTACAACTACAAACAAAACAAACAATCAAAAAAAGAAACTATATCCATGTAAAAAAATAACAAAATGGGCTGGTGATAGAGCTCAGTTGGTAGACTGCTTGCCTTGCATGCGCAAGGCCCTGGGTTCAATTCCCAGCAGCACCAAAAAAAAAATAAAGGCAACAAAGAAATCACACACTCCCAGTTCAGTATTTCTGTTTTTGTTTTTGACTGGAGACTGGGCCAGGGGCACTTGTCCACTGAACTGCATCCCCAGCCCTTCTTATTTTATATTTTGGGACAGCATCTTGCCAAGTTGCCCAGGGTGGCCGGGAGCTTGCGATCCTCCCGCCTTGGCCTACGGAGTCGCCGGGATCACGGTGAGCTTGTGTCTGTCGGGACTGTCGCGACCCACGCGGACTGCGCCCGGCTTATGCAGTCTGTATTTTGCCACAATAAAAAATGAAGTGGTTTGCAGGAAAATGAATAGAACTTGAGGCCATCCGGCTAAGCGAAATAAGCCGAACCCAGAAGGTCAAGGGTGGCAGGTCGAAGCGGGCTACCCCTTCAGCGCGCACCGTCTGCGTCGCTGGCCGTGGCAGGCCGTCGCCCCGACCAGAGGTGGGCTGCTGCCGGGGGTTGGGGGATGGCCGCGCACCGCGGAACCGAGAAGGCGAGCGCGGAGGCGCCCCGGAAGGCACGAGGCGCACCGGAAGTCCTCGGCGCCGCGGACCCGGAAGCGCCGGTGGGTGCAGTCCTGCGCCGGCTGCCAGCCATGGTTTTCCTCACGACGCGACTCTGGCTGCGGAACCGCGTCACCGACCGCTACTTTCGCGTCCAGGAGGTGCTGAAGCACGCGCGGGTAAGCACGCCCGCCTGGGCGGCGGGGCCCGCGGGCCGGGGCGCCCGCCGCCGCCTCCTCACCCCCGTTTCCCGTCCTCGCCCTAGCACTTTCGTGGGAGGAAGAACCGCTGCTACCGGCTGGCCGTCAGGGCGGTGACCAGAGCCTTCGTGAAGTGCACGCGAGCCCGCAGGCTGAAGAAGCGGATCCTGCGGACCGTAAGCGCGCCGCCGATCTCCTCCTCCTCCTGGGCTTCGGTGTCCTCCCCGTCGTCGTCCTCCTCCGCCGCTGCCCGGCGGCGGTCCTCCTTGTTGCCCTCCTCCTCGGCCCGGCCGCACATCACTCCCACCCCCATCCTCCCGAACTCTGCATCCCACCTGCTTGTGTTGTGCCTCGCTGTTCATTGCTGGGCTGCACGTATCCCAGGAAGCTTTGCAGAGGGTCTTTCTGATACGTCGAACTGTAACCCCCCTTTAGTGTCCCTCTAAGAAATCAGCTGAAGAAACAAAAGCAAGCCCGAGAGAGGCCTCACTGGCCATAGACTGTGGTCCCAGCACTATAACTCCCTGCCCCCATTCAGAATTATGCCTTTGTGGGGAGGTGGGTCTGTGCCTCAGGCTCCTAGGTCTCCAGCCAGGCCCAGAGTGCATGTGAGGTGCTTTGAGTACCTGAGCAGTGTGGTGCACAGGAAGGGGTGGGACACTGGCTGCCCCAGAGGAGGGCAGAGGTGCTCACAGCCGGGAGGGTCCTGAAGAGGGGGCCCTGGATAGCCAGGGTGTCACCTGAGGACTTGTTAGAAGTTCACATTCTTGGGCCAGGGATGTGGCTCAGTGGTAGAGCGCTTGCCCAGCATGCGTGAGGCCCTGGGTTCAATCCCTGGCACCACATAAAAAAATAAAATAAAATTAAGATAAAAATCAAATAAAATAAAGGTATTATGTCCATCTACAATTAAAAAAAATATATATGCAAAAAAAAAAAAGTTCACATTCTCAAGTCCTGCCCCAGACCTGCTGAATCAGAGGCTCTGGGCCTAGCATTCTGGTATTTTCATTTTATTATTGTTACTGAACCCAGAGGTATTGAACTACAGTTCCAGTCTTTTTCTTCTGAGATGGGGTCATTTTAGCTGGGAGGGTGGGGGGTGGGGGGGTGTACCAGGGACTGACCTCAGGGGCACTCAACCTCTGAATCACATCTCCAGCACTTTTTTGTATTTTATTTAGAAACAGGGTCTCACCGAGTTGCTTAGTGCCTTGCTTTTGCTGAGGCTGGCTTTCAACTTTCAATCCTCCTGCCTCAACCTCCTGAGCCGCTGGGATTACAGGCATGCGCCACATTACAGGGTTCTTGCTGAGTTGCTGAGGCTAACCTTGAACTTGTGAATCCTCTTGCTTCATCCTCCTAAGTCATTGGGATTTCAGGTGTGAGCCACCACACCCACCTCCAGTGTGTGGTCTGTTTTAAATCTCTAGGGAGCCTTATATAGGTCTAAACTTGAGAACCACCGAGCTAGAAGAGCAAAAATGGGCTTGAAGACTGCTTTAAGATATCTAGGAACGCCTTTAAGAAGAGACATCCCTCACACACCCACCTTGTTTAATGGAACAGAACAGAGGCACATACCATTCACCAGAAACTGCCCACTGCGCTAGGTCCTGCCCAGTGGTCCGTGTGGCTCGTCTTTTAGGTTTTTTCCCTGCTCACTTCTTAGTCTGATACAGACCCCACTACTCCTTGCCATCCAGGTTCTCTGAGGACCTCGACTGTTTGCTCTGCTCTCCGAGTCTGTTTGCCTCCCTGGAGCGTCTTGACTTTCACAACTGCCTTTGTGGGCACTCACTCACTGGCTGTAGGAATTTAGCCACACTGCTGCAGAATTTGTTATCTTTGTATTCATGGTGCATGTATTACAGCTTTTTATTTAGAATTGAACTTGTTTGGATGAAGCAAATCAGTCTTTGCTGTTATTTGTGCTGCAAGTCTGTTTGCTGGAGGAAAAAAAAATACTATCCTCCTGACTTTTACAAGTACTCTTTAGTGCAGTAGAGCCTTTACTAGAAGAATGGACAAAACATTCAACAGTTGATGTTAAGCATCTCTACGTTTTCTTATTCCAGCTCTGGATTAACCGAATTACAGCTGCCTCCCAGGAACACGGTCTGAAGTACCCGGCATTCATTGTCAACTTAATTAAGGTACAGTTTAGAGGGTCCTGCTGAGGTGCTGAGCATCTGTAGGAACCACCCCTCAGGCTTGAGCTCCCCTGGCAGTTGTCTCCCCAGCATAGCCCTGTACCTTCTGTTCTGCTTTCTGTTCTTGAGGTGGAACTCTGGCAAGGGCTTATCACAGTTGCTTCTCCCTCGCCCTGCTGGTAGCAGACCATGTTGGAAACAGGACATGGTACTGAAATGCAAGCCCTAGTGTTTCCTCATTATGAAAAAGAATAAGACTCATCCTTTTATTTTTTTCATTTAATTTTTTTGGTACTTGAATTTTTTTGGTACATTTAATTTTTTTTGGTACTTTTCCAGGGCACTTTACCACTGAGCTACATTTCCAGGTGTGTTTTTTTTTTTCCCCCTGGGGAGCATAGGGTCTCTCACTAAGTTGCTGAGGCTGGCCTAGAATTTGCCATTCTACTGTCTTAAGCCTCTAGAGTAGCTAAGATTACAGGAATGGCCACTGCACCTCATGGCTGTCCCTTTTTCTTCTGCTTCTTGGACTCACTGGTGGTTTCTGAGATCACCTCCAGTTCTTTTTCTTCTTTTTGGGGTACTGAGAACCAAGCCCAGGAACTTGAACTTTGGTGCTCTGTCACAAGCTGTACCTTGGCTAGGTTGACTTCATGGGCTGATTTATGGGTTGGCCTTGACCAGGAGACCTAGTTGTTAAAGTGATGACTACTGAATCTAAACATGGTCCTTGGTTCCCTGGGCTGGCACTGGAGCCCTCCCTGTCCTTGATCACATTTATCCCATAGCACCTATCTGTGCTGTGCAGACAGACCTTCTGCCAGGCAGACTGTGCCCTGGGCCAGGAAAGGAGAAAAATCTGGTGTGCTGACAGGAGGAGGGCGGCTCAGACCTTAGGCCTCTGAGCCGTGTCTTTCCAGCCTGACTGAAGTGGGGTGTTCCTGCAGGCCACTGGAGTAGCGATGCTGACTGCAGGCTTCTGCTCTCTCTCTTCCCAGTGCCAGGTGGAGCTCAACAGGAAGGTACTTGCAGACCTGGCCATCTATGAACCGAAGACTTTCAAATCTTTGGCTGCTTTGGCCCAAAGGAGGCGACAGGAAGGGTTTGCTGCTGCCTTGGGGGATGGAAAGGAGCCTGAGGGCATATTTTCCAGAGTGGTGCACTACCACTGAGGGCAGCAGCACAGTGGATCTGGACAAGGCTTTTTCCTTGGAGGATCATAGCTAAGATAGGAGCTCCAGGAGTTATGTGATAACTGAGTGAAGTCTGAGTTTGATTTGTCTTTTGTGTTCATTGCCATTTCAATAATAGGTCTTGCTTTCTCTGGGTGGGACAGAGTCACAGAATGTCTTATGTCGTATGCAGATCATGTGCATAAAGCTTTTGTAGTCTTTGATTTTGTTATATTTTCTGTTACCCAACAAACACCTTGATGTGTGCTCTGAGGTGCCTGTGTACATGTCATCAGTGACCACATGGACAGTGGGAAAGACTGCTGAGCAGGAGTCCCGAGTGGTAGGATGTCACTGACCATGCTGCTTCCTTCTGCAAATTAGGGATCTGCACCAGGCCTCTGAACTTTGACCCCACAGTTACCTGATCTACCCTAAGTTTCCCCAGTCCCTACTCATCCTGGCCAGGTTTGACCTCAGTCTCCATCCTCCACTAGTCTCTTCCTTATGTATAGCAGGAATCCTGTGGCTTATTTCTTCAGACACTCCAAACACCAACCTTTTCCCCTCCCATCTCCTTCCATGCTTCCCCAAACCAGTAGAGATGGGAGGGACATTCACATAGCAAGCAGGTAGCACTCCTGGCTCAAAGCGGGAACTTCTGATCTCTCATGGCCTTGGAGGGCTTTTAACAACACACACACTGCTCCCATAAGTCCAGGTATTATGTTCCTGACAAACTCACTAGTAGGAGCCACTTCACAGCAGCTCCACACCATAGACCTGTCCACTCCTTCCAGTAGTGAAAGATGTGTATTTAAGCTGCCCAGGACCAGCCCAACCCTTTGTCCTCAGTGACCCAAAGCCTTTGTCATCTGGGTTTTGAGCAACTCATCTGCACACCCCCTCTCTAGCTCTAATCTGCTGTCTCCACTCTGGCCTCTGCTTCCTTCCCATTATAACTCAAGAGCTCTCAGCAAAGCTGTTTTCTAGAACCAAAATTCCAATAGGTACCATGACCCCCAAGATTTTCACCCCATCTCACTTCCCTTTCCTTCTGCACCAGGAAAGCCGTTAAGCTCTTTACCAATTACTGCCTTCTTGCTGGGGACTCCCACATTTATACAGGCAGTGGCCCAGGCCTGCTTGTACTGCTGACCTTGGAGGGCTATCCCTGCTCCCAAAGCACACCTTTCTTCCCTTCCAATTGCAGCCACACTGCCCTTTGGTGACACGTCCTTCATCTCATGTCACCATTGCCTGGGAGTCATTCCATGTTCTTCCTTGTACACAGTACCTACTCCAGCCCCACATGGAGCCAGTCAAGCCCTGGCCATTTACCTCCTAGATATCTTTGTCCACTCTCTTCCACTTTCACTGTAGGCCAAAATCATTTATGGCCCACATTACAGCTTGAACCCCCCTATGAGGCCCTTCGTCCCCAGCTTAAGGGTGGACACTACCATAGGTATTTGGAAGACAAGGGCCAACTTCCATCTTTCCCAAGATCTGGTCATGTGCACAAGTGTTGAATGCATTTCACTTGTCAGTATGGTACTGTGGTTGAGCTGCTTTTATGCACTTCACACTAATAAAGGAAGATGGGAATGTGGCAGACCGCCGTGGCCCTGCTCCAGTTTCCTTTCATTCTGGTGCAAATTTGGGTGCCAGGGCCTGATCTGAGTGGCTGGATTCATGGTTCAGAGGATAGGCAAGCAGCCCAAGTAGGACCAAAGAAAATCAAGGTCTGCTCTTTTCCTGGGGTTGGGTGCAACTGCAGACAACAGGGGAGACACCCTGGCGCTGCCAACCTTGGGAGTAGAGGGGGTGGGTGGAATGCAACCGTGTTGCCCAGAGCAGTCCGAGTGCAGAGGAGAAATTGGGTCTCAGTTGCCAATGCTTGAACTGAAATAAGAAGTCCGCCCACGTTTGGATTTGGGCGAGAGCCATTGGGAGCCTCGGTTTCAGGTAGTCACAGGCAGCTCAAGTGTCTAAATTGACCCCATCCAGGAACATTCTACCCTCAGATCTACCCCCAACGTCTAAACCAGCATCTCTGGGCTTCCCCACCGGTCTCCTAAGCCTAAACCTGGTGAAAAGCTCAGGGTAACAACAGGAATTAACACACCTGATGCCCCTCCACAGCGGCGCTGAGCAGACCCACGAAGGCCTGGGGAATCAAGAGTCAAGACAAATGCTTCACGAATTCTGTAGGGTCAAATAAGCAAGTCCCTTCGCACCCAGCGCTGGAACCTCGCGCCTCTTTTCCCCCCGCTACCCTGTGCTTGCATCTGCCGCCAAGCGCTCTGTAGGGTCATCAAATCCGACAAGTTCGGTTCCCTGTTACCCGTCCACCTCCTCGTGGGCTGAGGTTTGAAACAGGAACCCGTGAGGTCCAGGACCCACAGGTGCATCCCCAACTCGAAGCCAGTAGGGTGGAGCACTAACTACCAGGCAATCGCCCCGTGTTAACTCGCACCGGCTCCATGCACAGCGTCGTGTTCCGGAGACTGCAGGGGAAGGGTCGTCCCTTCCCAGCTTCCACCGAGACCCGCCTCCTGGACGCCACAGGCTTCTGAGATGCAAGCCCCTTGACCCAAGCCTCTAGGAGCGTCTGGCCTCTCAAGGCAGACTCGCTTCCGGGTCGAGCCGGGCCGTGGAGGGTTCTGGGTAACGAGCCCGCTTCTCCCGCGCGAGTTCCGGCGTCGACGCCTGACGTAAGGCTGACGGGCAATTCACGCAACCAATAGCCATGAGGCAGCGACCGATCACAGCCAATTGCATGGGGTTGGGCGGGGCGGCCTGAGTGTCGCGAGGAGCCGCCCTGCCGGGAAGGGTCCCGAAAGGAGTCGGCGGCACAAAATGGCGGCGGCGGCGGCGGCGGCGGCGGCCGGAGCTCCGGGGTCGGCGGTCCCCGGGACGGCGGCCGGCACCCCGAGCTCGGGGGGCGCCGCGCCCGGGTCGCAAGGAGTGCTGATCGGGGACAGGCTGTACTCTGGCGTGCTCATCACCTTGGAGAACTGCCTGCTGCCAGACGACAAGCTCCGCTTCACGCCGTCCATGTCGAGCGGCCTCGACACCGACACGGAGACCGGTCTCCGCGTGGTGGGCTGCGAGCTCATCCAGGCGGCCGGCATCCTGCTCCGCCTGCCGCAGGTGAGGGCGCGGCCGCGAGGCTCGCGGTAACCGCCGGCCCGGAGGGGCCGGGCCTTTGTTGGCCGATCGGCCCGCGCTGCGTCGGTCCCGGATCCCCCACCCCGCCCGGAACCGGGCCCGACCCGGCGCCGCGCCCCAGACCCCCGGCCCGGCCCCCAGCCGGCCGCGAGCCTCCCCAGGGTCGGGGCGCCGAGACCGCGGGCCGCCGGGAGCCTTTGGGTCGTGGAGGAGGGCTGAGTTCCTGGCCCTGAGGGGAGTCCCACGTGACGGGGTGACTTTCAGTGCGGAGCTCTGGAGTCTGCGTCCAAAAGTGACGGAAGCTTCCCCGTCTAGGTGGCCATGGCTACGGGACAGGTGCTGTTCCAGCGGTTCTTTTACACCAAGTCCTTCGTGAAGCATTCCATGGAGGTAGGCCCCCGCCCCTCCGGCCTGCGCCGCCTGCCGGGTGGGCGCGTCCTGGGCCCGGGAGGCCCCTGTGCGGCCCCTCAGCCTTGGGCGGACCCCAGGATGGGAACAGACCGCTGCGTCTCCATGCTTCCTTTCAGCATGTGTCTATGGCCTGTGTGCACCTGGCCTCCAAAATAGAAGAGGCTCCCAGACGAATTAGGGACGTCATCAATGTGTTTCATCGCCTTCGACACCTGAGAGAAAAAAAGTGAGTCTTTTCAGAGTTGTCACAAGTGTCCAGTCACTACCGTTTCTGTGACAGTTCCAGATGGGAGGCTGTGTCCTTGTGGATGATTGCTAGTGTGCTCCCATCAGCCAGGATCCCCTAAGGAATGGAGGAGGGCCCACCTCAGTTCACAGCTGTGATGTGTTGTCTCTTGTGTGGCCCTGAGTGCTCCAGAGCAGGGACTTGTCTTCACCACTGTCAGCATCTGGGGATTGAACCCCAGGGTGCTCTAACACGGAACTACATCCCAGTCCTTTTTTTTTTTTTTTTTTTTTGTCGTGTGTGTGTGTGTGTGTGTGTGTGTGTGTGTGTGTGCTGGGTATTGAATCCAGGGCCTTGGCAAGGCAAGCACTGTGCCAACTGAGCTATATTCCCAGCCCCCAATATTTTATTAGTTGTCAGTGTGCCTTTATTTTATTTATATGTGGTGTTAGAATCAAACCCAGCACCTCACACATTTTAGGCAAGCGCTCTACCACTGAGCTACAACTCCAGCCCTCCCCAGTCCTTTTTTATGTTTTGTTTTGACACAGGATCTCACTAAGTGAGACCTTGAACTCGTGATTTTCCTTCCTCAGCTTTCAGTTTGCTGGTATTGCAGGCATGTACCACTGAGCTCTTAACTTCTAGTATCTGTGCAATGAGATCTTTAGACCTCGTTGCATTCAGGCAGTGTTTGTGTATGCACCAGAATGCCTTTTATCAACCAGGATGGGGCAGGTTGTAGAGAAGGGATAAGTAGGTTGGCTCTGGAGTTGGAAGCCTGTTCTATAATTTTGTTAAAGGAAGTGAGTCTTCATCTAGTGTCTTGTGCGGTGATGTTTATATTAGATTCCTCCCTCTTGGAGGTGATAGTGTACCCTGAAAGGTGTTGCTTTTTTGTTTTTCTGAGGTTTTTTGTTTTTGCAGTGCTGGGATCAACCTGTGGCCTCACTTGTGCAAGACAAGTGTTCTACCACTGAGCCACAGGTGCAACCCCAGAACATCTTATTTTGTCTGATCTTTATGTGGCCATGTTCTTTGTCCTTGCAGGAAGCCTGTGCCTCTTCTTTTGGATCAAGATTATGTCAACTTGAAGAACCAGATCATAAAGGCAGAAAGGCGAGTCCTCAAGGAGCTGGGCTTCTGTGTCCACGTGAAGCACCCTCACAAGGTGGGTATAAGGTGGTTTTCACCCCCCATGTCTCTGAGGCTGAAAGCCCTGGAGATGACCTATGTCCCTGACTCAGTTTTCCAAGTCATAGCTGTAACCTTGCAAGTGATTAGCCTTCTTGTGCTATTAATTCTAGTTGCATTTTAAAAGAGTTTTGGAAATTGTGGTTTTTAGGTTTCGGTTTTCAAAAAAACAGTGGTGAACTTGTAGAAATAAAATTTGTCAGCATCCATTTTTCTTTC